AAACTTTCCCTCATATCGGTAGTAGTGAGATGCTTCTGTAGTTCTCACATTTGATGTCTTGATAAGACATCCTTCTTTCAAGTCCTTCAGCACTTGTTCTTCCTTTCAAATCTTCATGAACAGAACGTGAAACATACTCGCATTAACTTCTATGCATGGCTTCAATGCTTAAGCTGATATATTGTCAGGTCCTGCTACTTTCCCGCTCTTGATTTGTTTTTGCTTTGGCTTGATCTATTCTCGTTCGACTGTTGCTAATTGTTGTCCTTTTCTTCCTTTCTTGATTCGTTGTCCAGGTTTTTGATAGTGATCCATAGCTTATAATGATGGTTGTTGCGGTCCAGAACGTCATGCCAAGTTGAAATTAGTACCTCTTTGGTCCCCGTCAAGTGGTATTCCATAGTAGTCTCCTCTTCTTTGATTAAAACTTGTAAGACTTAGAACCTGTTGTTAAGGCTATCTTAAATTGATTGAATTTGTCATTATGTCAAAGGAATGCAGTATTATACAAATATGATTGATCTGATTCTCTGAAGTGTAATCCGGTGAAACCTATGTAGCATTATGTTTATATAGTGCCACACATAACCATTTTGTTAAATACACACAAAATTGCAAATCTATCACCATTCTCATTTCTTTCTCCCAGTCATTGTCATCTCATGATACTGGCATGTCTGTTGTTGTCCATTCTGACTCAAATCCTTTCTATTAATGATACAAATGTATTTAATTGTTTTATCCATTCTAGTGTGATATGCATTTTTTTTCTTTTAATGAGGTAGCTGGATTAAAATAATAAATGGTGGCCCTGAAAATATCATCCCGCTAACTAGGACTAAATGAGTGTTATCAAACAGTGTGCGAAATTAGTATTATGATTTACAGTTGACGATTAAAGTTAAGAATCAGATTTAGAAATTTTATCACGAACTAACATCAGCTATAATACCGAAATAATCTTTAACCAAATGAGTGGATGAATTTCGCTCTCAAACCCGAGATCTGTTATCACAAATCTGATTAATTCGTTCATAAATTATAGTTTCACCTTCTTTAAAAAAAAAAATAAGATCAGTCTTCCATACTTCAGGTAAGTAGTTAAAAAACTTGATGTATACATTATTACTACTAAATACATCATTTCAGTAGGTCAACTATATAATATAAATTGTGAGCAAAGTTTTGAAACACTTGTACATTATTCTTTATCATTTATTAATATTTGACATTCAACATTATATTTTTATAGTTTATCTTTAAGAAATTTGCTTTTAAGGAAGTTGTTTACATAATGTACAATTGCATAGACATATAAGCATTTGAAAGATTCATTATTTATGCAGAAATATTAAAGCCATAAACATAAGGCATAATTAGTGAACTATGATGTATATCCATGAGATGAAAACGTTAACCATGTTAAGTACTGAGTATTGTGTTTTATGGCTCTCTAGTTATCACGTAATCTATTCGTCAATTAGAATACGACTTATTTGCTCTTATACTGTACTAAACCAATGACGTCCGATCGGTCTGATCAGCCTAGTATCTTGTTGATCCGTTGCTCGCCTAGCCCGTCCAGTTGAGTCTAGAATGCCAATTACAGCCTCCACTATACGAATCATTTATTTCAGACATACTGGATGTGTATACTAACCAAACAGACGGCAACGCATCATAAAATAAGAAATAACATTCATACACAAATAAGCCAAAAAGTGGCTGTGAATGCGGGAGACTGTAATCAATAAACTAAGTATAACTTACGAACAGTAAGTCTATAGATCAAAACGAAGCTTATAATAAAAGGAATATAGACATATATAATCTAATTACTGAATTGTTATACCATAAGAATATATAGATAATATTAGTCCATTAATAGGTCTCCAAAGATACCCGTAATTTAATCTTCACTAGGATATAACACTGAGACTCATTAATAAAATTTGAGGGCTATTTGCTTTAAAATTATGCGCATAAAATAACTATGCCTGGTAGACAAAAACTCATTAGTAGATTGGTTGTAGTATTTTTATCTGAATTTCTAAATGAATAGATATTAAAAAGCAGATTACAAATGGCTATGAAAAATATAAAGGAAACTTTTGTTTGATGTACTTTTGTTTCTAAGACCGATGTGAATCACGTTCAATTTCAAGAAGTGAGAGAAGTAAAAGAAGTTTCAATCAATAAATATTCGATACTGTATTAATTTATTTAATAGATATCAAATTTTCTCTTCAAAGAGACTGAAGAAGCAATTTTAAGCACTTAAAAAAATAGTAAGGAATCTCAAGATTGATCTAACTCTACCGAGTTATTATGCTGAACTTTTAGCTTTCAAGTAGGATAAAACATATGTAAGTGCTTTGTAAGATTTGTTTCCTCTTTGATAAGTCTTGAGAATTGGACGCTATATTCTTTTCCTAAGCTATTCTGGAAACCCGCAAGCTAGAACTACACAGCGACCTGAACACCAGAGAGAAGACGCAAAGCATGAGAGAAATATTTTACTCCAAGGTTCATTTTTGTACAGAAAACATGGGTATTTATAGATGTTAGCATTTGCTAAATCAACATCATATTTCGGCCAATCCGTTAACGACATATTATGCTACTGACCAATAGTAGCACGCCACGTTGGAATTCTAGAATGCTCCATCGTGCTCTGATTGGCTAGGGCTCTTCTGCTCTTTTTGGGCATCTGGAGGCTCCATTGAAGTTATCCGAAAGCCGACTCAACACTCTTCTGTTCAGTTATTTATTAAGCGCCCAGTGTCTTGCAATTACGAAACACATTATACATACAATTGCTACGGATAATTGTCGACATTTTGACGATTCCACAATTTAACATGTTTACACCAGCGAATAAAAACATTTGAGATTTATAACTTACAATAATTAGTAGTATAAATCAATTCGAATAATTTTTAATATATTTCAAATCGCTCAACATATTTTTCTGTTCCTATTCGTCAAACTAACAAAACCTTGATTCATTTTGATATTTGGATGAATATCGTAAGTTAGGTCACATAATTAACCCATGACAATTTTTTTTTTACTTCTTATAATGTATTTCTTCTTCATGAACTATTTTTACACACAAACACACACACATACACATCTTATGTGTATGCATGTGCATGACTTTCATCCTAAACAATCACTGATATTATTTTCCATTTCACTATCTACAACTATCAGTTAAACATAAAAACGTTCCCGATTATTCGAATTTCAACTTTTGAATAATTCTGGAGAGAAAAAACAAAATTCTCTCTAACTAATACTGACATTAGATGATTTCCGACGAAATAGAACAGTTGTTTGAATGTTCATCTATTGTATGAAATACCTAATACAATCATAAATTGTTTAATTTAAAAAAAAATCTATTCTTTTTCTTGATCATATATAATTACAAAATTAAGAAACTTTACCATTTTACGGTGTTACACATAAAACATTCATAGGATTAAGTAAGAAATGAAAAGATTTCAATTAAACTATGATTTCTGGATGAATCAATTAGAATTCAAATTTTTGACATACTGATCTTAAGTATTCTTCTTTTAAATTGATCTACAAAGTCAAAGGAATTGGATCGAAGCGGTGTCGAATCAATATTTTATGCACTGCTAAGGCATTAGCAATTCACGAACTCAAACTCGAAATTTCCGTGCAGTAACGATTTGTCCAACTTCTCATTCTTCATTGACCTTAATTCTCTCAATTTTTGTGTTTCTGCACTTTTACTTGATTATTATCGGATTTTTTTATATTACTATTTTGCATTTTAAACTCTAATCAGTTATTATTATTTATTACAATATACACGTTTTTTGAGTATTATTCAGTCTATTATTATGACCTTGATGTTTGTCGCTTTTCGTTATATTTGTCAATTGGACTATTATCTCACAGGTTGAAATCATGAGTCAATGGAAGTTAGACTACCATGGAAAACCTGGAAACACTGGACGGCCGTTTCGTCCTCAGTAGTGCGCATCCACGTCTATTATTATCTGACCCATAAACAATTTTCTTCCTTACCCCTTGGTTAGTACGTAACCTCATTTGTTATTTATCCTCGAATCCATTTTGGTGATGCAATTTTTTCTATCCTCCCATAGACATCGATTTCTCATATACCTATATATAGAAATGTACAGCTTAAGTAAATGATTTCGTCGAAAAGAAAATTATCTTCTCTGAATTCTCTTTTTCTGATTTAAGAATTCAAATTGTTAGTTTTGCATTTTTGCAAGAAACTCATTCATCCGTATAGCTAAATAACACTTTTTGTTTTATAGTTGGTGATTATTTACGGTGGAAACCCTAACTGTAATTCCTGATACTAACTTCTAACTCTAAATATTAATCCTAATTGCTTACACTGATTTATAATCCGCTTTTGATTTTAGTAAGTAAGCAAATTCTCTTAAGGTCACTTCGGAATCTCTGAAAGACTGTTCAAAAATTATAATCTGATAAAGAGTCTTGCTCAGTTATATTGATGATATTTTAAATAAAAACTGAGCAACTGCTTCATCGATTTATAAGAAATAAGTCATAGATAAATGTTTCTGTGGTGTTTGAATTGACTAATGATACTTTTGTACATGTTGATTACACAATTTCGAATTCCAAATACAGTACGTTCGTTTGTGCCTGTCTTCTTTATTCAATTGCGTTATTTCTGGGACTCTTAGTTCGTGCTATAATTCCAATAAGTCGAAATACAATACTGGCGTCGTGATGGAACCTGCAATGGAAAAGTTGGACATTCATTCAACTTCGGAAGCATTTGAGGATTATTTCGAAAGGTTCGAAATCTGGGTCATGACCATGGAAGATGATGAGGATATTAATATTGTGGCATATTTCCTCACATTCATCGGTAAAGAAGCATACAGTTTATTAAGAACGCTGGCTATGCCGGAAAAACCCATTTCGCTTCCTTATACAACTCTCAAGGCATTACTACTAGACCATGTCAGGTATGCAAATTTTGATTGCAGTAAAGAAGGGGAATTTCCTAAAATGATTCATCAGGACATTAAAAGTTCTACTACATCACGTTATCCTAATCCAGTGCATATTCAAGGTTATGCAAATAATTCATTGCGGAGTTGCAGTGCGTTTCAAGAAGATGGGCACAAGTTTGGTCAGTGTTTGTCCTGTGGCAAGTTCCATGCTTTTAATTCATGTAAATTTCGTAATTCTAAATGCTTTAAATGTGATGATATTGGATATATTCAGTCAGTCTGCAATACTAATGTTCATGTTATTGCAACTAATATTAAGTCTTGTAATTCTGATTCTACTGAGTCGAGTATTTATAATGATGATTTATCTTTATCAACTATTGCAATAGACAGTGTAGAGTCAAAAAGCAGTTCAAAGTCAAATGAAATCCAGAATCCTTGTGAGACAACAGTTCCTAATCAACCGATTTATCAGAATTCTCATGCTATTGTACCAGGTATGACGTTTCCTAATGATTCACATATTTCTGATGAAATTTCTTACAAATCTGAGGAAAATATGTTAAATGAACCTATTCATTATCAAAAACCTGAGGCAGTCATGATAGATGCTAATTTTTCTAATGATCCATTGCTCTGCAATGACATTCTTAGTCAATTTCATGAAAATATTTCAGTAGAATCAAATCCTGATGTCATATGTATTACCTATCCTCATAATGCATTTGCTCCTTGTGAAAAACTTGTTCAATGCAAAGCACGAATACTAAATGAGCTCGGTTTTGATTACAATTCTGATGATTTCATATCAACTGTTGTTCATCCTTATCACAAAAACACTTCTAATGTTTACTCTAATCAATGTGAGAAATATGTTTTAAATGAAGCCACATTATTCATAACTTGGGAATATAAAGACCCAACATTATTTCGTGGGGGGGGGATAGCGTTGAAAAATCTATGATTCCAATTTGAGATATGAATCATTTCAGTACAAAACCGATATGTTGATTGTATACAATTCAAGGTGAGTCTGTTCCGATTTCGTTTGTTAATTCCCATACTAATGAGCACATTCTAGATACTAAAAAGTTTTCATCCAGTACAATGTCGGACAGACTCAGGATGAACTTAACAAGAAAACATACAACCGATTGCAAACACTTATACTTCTATTTAAGCTGTGGCGGATGTGGTGTTTGAATTGACTAATGATACTTTTGTACATGTTGATTACACAATTTCGAATTCCAAATACAGTACGTTCGTTTGTGCCTGTCTTCTTTATTCAATTGCGTTATTTCTGGGACTCTTAGTTCGTGCTATAATTCCAATAATTTGAAATACAATAGTTTCCTAACTAACAGTTCGTTTACAAGATGATGTCACTTTAGAATAAGTTCCTTGTAATCATTTACCGAGGTCCACAGGAAATGAAAATAACATGTACCTATGGCTGAAGTTTGATTCTATCCACCAGTAAGTCATACATGATTGAATACTAAATACTAGCTATATTTTTCTACCTGATATTTAACACAAACAACGCCATAGCTAAGTGTGTAGTGAAAAGAATACAGATGGGGACAATCGTATGTACTTAACACAAACTTACAAGACATGTTAATAAAATCTAACAATTATAAAGTAAATGCTTAATTTGTAAAATGTCCATCAATTGTCTCAAAATGAATCGGACTTCATTTTTCATGCATTTTCATACAAATTTCACTCTGTCTCCATTCTTTACTGTTAGATCCTCTTGTCTCTCTGCTGTCAGACATTCTGTTCCTGACTAACATCATATACTACTTATGTTGATATAAGTAGCACATACCACAAGTGAACTGATTCTCTCGTGATGAAGTTTACTATAAACTTATAAACTTTGAGTTTAGTTAAACTTGAAGCTATAGATGAATTAGATCTATTTGAATTCATTTTAAATTATGCTCATATTATTTTGATGCTTCATAGAGACTGTACTGATAAGTATCATACTAATATGGATATTTCCTTATTGTATCCTCAAGAATGATCTCGACAAAATAGAAAATTCACTGACTTTTTGTAAAGTTTAATAAAATAATAGATTGTTTCCTTTTAAACAAATGATTTCTCTGGCAGTTCATTATGTCTTATAGTATATTAATAAAGTTATTTCATATGTTTATTGAGTCACTTATTGAATAACTAGATTTTACTTTAGCACAAGCATCATTTCCCCCAAGAAAAAATGGTGTCATTAATGCGTTATATGAACATATTTAAAGACTCTATGTATTTGTGATGTTTGTATAAACTAATGATTCCTTTGTACTTGATGACTGCCTGATTTCGAGTTACAAATACTGTTATATCCGAGTGAAGATTAAATTACGGGTATCTTCGGAGACCTATTAATGGACTAATATTATCTATATATTCTTATGGTACAACTATTCAGTAACTAGATTGTGTGTATTTATATTCATCTTATGATAAGCTTCATTTTGACCATAAGATTATTACTATTATTATTATTATTATTATTATTATTATTATTATTATACGATTTACTGTTCTTAAGTTGTGTTCAGTTTATTAATTACAGTCTCCCACGTTCACAGCCACTTTTTGGCTTGATTTTCTATGAATGTTATTTCTTATTTTATGTTTTGATGCGGGTTGTTTGGTTGGTATATAAACCAAGTGTGTTTGAAATAAACCATTGGACGGGCTAAGAGAACAAAAGAACATTGAGGACGAGAAGTTGCTCATACCAGCCGAACTTCATTGGTTTAGTACATTACAAGAGACGACTTTGTTAAAGCTCAAGTATATACCGTAGAAACGTCCTTCCGTCAGTCCATAGCAATCCCCCAAACAAACACTGGACAGCATGACCACTGAAGAACTCGATATCTTTGGTCTGCTAAATAAGCTTGACATAGGCGACTCATCGGTGCTCAATGAAGTTCGTCCTAGGCTACTGAAGGAATTGTCTAACGCGTGAACTCGAAGTTTTGTGCTCAGCGGGTTGCCTCAGGGTACAGTTTTGGGGCCAATGTTATTCCTCTTGTATGTGAATTACCTTCCTCGTCTCCTATCATCATCGGTCTTGCTATATGCTGACGATGTCAAGATATGGAGAGCGATAAGAAGTGAAGGTGATAGCTCAGAACTCAAAAATGGCATGAAGAAATTATATGAATGGTCTCAAACCTGGCAGTTGCCGATAAATACTTCCAAGTGTGTTGTAATGCATATCAGTAATCAAGGTACAGATATATACACGATGAATAACACTGAGCTACCTGTTGTCCAGACACATAATGACTTTGGAGTCATCATTAGCATCAAACAGTTCCGATAAATTGGTTATCGTCAAATACACTCTTCCGATCTCCTCGATTCTGTCTTTTGATTTCTCTTGGTGGGTACGAGACTAAAAGACTACTGCACACCGCCGTGTAATAGCCGCCAAATGTTTCAGAACTTTATGGTCAGTACGTAGGGCTTTTAGTCGTCGTCGCTAGAACGTTTTCGACTTTGTATACAGTGTTCGTACGTCCTGAACTTGAGTACTGCATACAAGCGGTCAACCCCTGCTTAAAAAAAGACAGTGAGCTTCTGGAAAAGGTTCAGAGAACAGCAACTAAGCTGACTCCTGGAATAGCGAACCTTTGCATGATGCTCGACTGGCCAAGCTAAACCTTTTCCCGTTGTCATATCGTAGAACTAGAGGTGACTTGATTATAGTTTTCAAATTGCTTAGTGATAAGTTTACGCCTCATATGCCCTCATTTTTCTTGTCTTCCAAAACAGAAAATTTACGAGGAAACTCCAAAACAGTTCATAAACCCAGAACAAATTGCTTGTCAGCTGACTATCGACTTTACCATTGAATCATCAACAAGTAGAAATCATTAACTCAACGACGCTTCGATAAGCAGTTGAATCAACTAAGAGACCATCATTACCAGGATTAACACAAGCCATCAAGCCTCCTTTCCTTTCCAAATTGACTTTGTAAAGTATACAAATTTCGAATGCGCTAAAGATGGAAATTTCATAAAATGATTTGTCAGGACTTCAGGAGTTTCCACTACTTTACTACGTTGTCTCGACTTAATGCGTAATCAAGGTTATTCAGATGAGGATTCATTGAGAAGTTGCGAAACAGATTAAGAAAATGAGCACAAGTTTTTTAATTACTTGTTTTGTGACACGTTTCATCAAGGTATTCTGTAATTCTAAATGCTCTAAATGTGGTGATTTGATACAGTCAGTCCGTTTGCAATACTACGTTTCATTTCGTTTCAACTAATGCTAAATTTTGTAATTCTGATCCATAAGGTTGAGTGTTTCTAATGATCATTTATGTTGTCCACGGCTTTGGGAGGCGATATAGAGTCACACAGCAGTCCAGAGTTAAATGAAACTCAGAATCATTGTGAGAAAAAAGCTCCTAGTCAATCAACTTCTTACCGAATTTCCCATGTTGTTGCATCAGTTATGGTTTTTCCTAATGATTCACATGTTTTTGATGAAATTTCTTATATATATATATATATATATATATATATATATATATATATATATATATATAATGATCCATTATTCTTTAATGAAATTATTAATAAATTTGAGGGAAATATTTTAGAAAAATCAAATTCTGATGTCATATCAAATGTCATTTGTTTTCACAATCGGCTTATCTTTAGTGATATCCTTAATGAATGTGACAAATATGTTCCGAGTGAGTCAAATTCTAGGCACATTTCTGATGTAATCGTATCAGATACTGGATCTTCTCACAGCCAATTTATGTTGAGTAGAATCCCTAGTCAGTAGTATGATGAATCAGAGGGCATAACAAGTTTTCTTGAAGTAGTCAGAGAACCAGTTTCCCTAGATATGGAGTTTGCACAGGCGGAAAATCCAAACTGAGTCCAAGATTATCCTAATGAATATGAGGCAGATGCATGTTTTCCATTTGATTGTTTTGCAGGTGAATCAAGCCTAGATGAATCGCATGGCGGCCTGCTCAAATATCTGAGCTACCTGTTCCTCCGATCTACATATTTCTTCAAGTTATCTGTTTTGTTGTTTGTTTTAGCACATCATTATGTCTATTGTGCTCACAATCTGTTCAGGCGCGTTTATGAAAAGTATACAATTTTTCGCTGTAAGGGATACAAAAAGGTACAATCGGCGACATCACGGTGGCTGGCAATATGCATTTAAACGAATGAATATTAATCAAATGTTGATTACCGAACTCCTAACATCTAACTGGTCATCACTCAAAATTTATCGTCACAATCGATCAAGATATAAGAAAAGGAAACTTGTTGAAATACTTTATGCTGAGAATTCTATGTTGTACCAAAAATTTAATGTTGAATAAAGCTAATAATAATAATAATAAT